TATTCATAGTTGTTTCGTTATCTCAACAACCTGTTATCAATCAAAGAGAGTGTATACTTAGAGGCAGGTCTTTGTCTTACCCTACAACTGTGCAATATAACAGCCGAAACCAACGCAATAATTACTCATGAGGCTATGCTGTTTTAATTATACCAGTCAATGCGTTTGTACAAGTTGTTTGGCTGGGACGAAATATTCAGAATCAGTAGTTGGAGATTCTTAGTGACGGCTTAAAACCGTTCCACACAACTGGATAGATGTATTGATTCTTTGTTCTCCTTGAAGTCCTGAAAATCTTTACTAAATTATTGCGTCTCACCTATCTTTATTCACCTCTTTTGCGTACTTTTCTGAAGTGTGGCAACTTGAATTGCTACAGACACCTGCGGAGTTCAACAGTCGACCAGATTAAGTTCGTAAATATTCTGTAAGGAATAGCGCACAACAAGTCGTAGATAATTAGAGATAGCTAATGATTTACAAAAAGTATTAGATGATGTCCCGTATTTCATTTGAGACCAAAAATACCTCTACTCAAGTAACTAACTTTTTCATCTTCGTGTAAACACCCAATTGGTGAGGAATATCACTTGTACGACTCTGAATTACTGTCCGCAGACATTTGGATACTATACTACCGATGCCAGAGAAGCAGAACATTGATTCCATAGTTAAAGACATGTTGAAATATGAGTCTTTTATGCTTTGGGTCATTGGTATCTTAACTGCGTATCGAAGACATAACCTGCATCAATAACAAGATTGTTAAGGCCACTCAATAAACCTGTCTGTCAAAAGAGACTTTCCCCTAGTAATGAGACTGTTTCAACTCAACACTAGGGACCATTTGATTTTAGGAAACTATTCCACTATGTTTTTTTTATTCCTTCACGTTCCCAGTGGGACATAGGCCTTCAAGCTAGAGGCTTGAAGTTTCTGTAGCAGTGTTTATTTTTACAGAATGGGGTTGCTGGCCTCATGCCCAACCTTTCCTCTTTACCAGTCTTATTACTGGCTTAGCGAGGGAAAGGAGTGCGTCGGCTGGGGATCGAACCCCGGACCATGTGCATGGTCGGCGAACGCCCCAACCGATGTGCCACCGACGCACTATGTAATTTCTGTGAATTTGAGAATTGCAAAATATTTCAAAATAGGCATTCATGTGATGATGACCAAGGTAAGAAAGGTGGTTGTATGGGTTTTCTCTTAACCATACAGGTTCGGTTTCTGCAGGGGGATTTCAATGGCTTCAGATATACGTAGAAGACGAACTTGTAAGGCGAAATTAAGAGTATTCGGAATACAAAAGATAAATTTAAATTCCTGGTTAACATCAACTTTATGTACAGTATCTACAAGAGGCAGGTCGAAACAAAGAGATGAATGGACCTTGTTTGTCCCCTGCTTAACCATACGGGATGATGTTCAGAAATCCGACGATGAAGATACCTAACTGTACATCTATTGTAACCGTAACATTAAAACTAGTAGTAAGTTTTCACGAATGTGTGTAATTCAGTTACTTTTTCTTACTGCACTACACGACACATTTGAACTGTTGGTGTGTGGCGACCATTTATTTGAATTTCCAAGGAGTGTTTTGGCTTGTTCAGTTATAACACTTTGACGCTTAGAGAGAGAGGATTCAGCAATGAGAGAAGAGATAAGAGTCAAAATCGTAGTCGAGAGATCAACACACACGTGCAACAATTCTCTGAGAATTCTGCTAGTAGTCATTAGTAGCGTTTTCTCTGCATTTTATGCCGCTTAACTAGCTGTAAAACCTCGCCTAGCTTGCTGGTTTTCTAGCCGGTCACAAGCCGGGGTAAAGAGGGTGGGTTGGGCGTGGGGCTAGCAACCCTAAATCACTAAACCTATCAAACCGTTAGAGAAACTTCAGAGCACAGAAAATATATTAAAAATACAAAAACTTCAAATAACAATCTTATTCTTCGCTCGAATCGGAGAGGTGAAAAGGCTGGTCAACGCCAGCCTTCGGGAAACCAGCCAATGTGTCTTCCACAGATGAAAGCAGGAATAAGAATGCGGACGTGAAATGTACGTACAATGTACGAGGCTGGATGGGACGGCTGCCCAGGTAGCCAGAGAGGTGAGAGGATATGGTACAGAAGTGGTGGAAGTCTGCGAGAGCAGATGGAATGGATGTGGACTGTCGAAATTGTCAACTGGTGAGTCAGTAATCTACGCCGGTCACCCACTCAGATGACAACCATCAGCACACTAGGGCTGGGAGTGACTATCATGATGTCACCAGTGGAAGCCAAATCCCTAATGCAGTGGGAACCAATTTCCCCTTGCAGGATCATCACAGCAAGATTCAACGGTGTGCGCCGGCAGAGGATCGAACCCCGGACCATGTGCATGGTCAGCGAGAGTCCTAACCACTGTGCCACCGACGCACAAAAGGAAGGTCACAATTATCCAATGCTACACAATGCACAAACAACGCAAAACAAGAGAAGGAAACAAACAATGATGGACAACATCCCAAGTGGTGACATCAAAATCCTTATGGGCGATATGAATGCCAGTTGAACTGGGAGCAGATAATGCATTGAGAGAACTCATCATGGGTCGAGAGGCTCTCAACTGGCAAAATGAATGAGAACGGAGAACTCTTCGCAGACTTCTGCATCTCCAATCATTTGGTGATTGGAGGCGACGTGTACAAGCACAAGGATATACACAAGGCCAGCGACATGGATTTCGCCTGACGGACACACCACAAACCAGATAAGTTTCATCTCTATGCTGCTCAAGGAAGTGGATATACAGTCAGCCTGCTGGACACAAAGTCGAAAAGGGGAGCAGATGTGGGCTCAGACCATCATCTAAATTCAAGGAACCTTCAAGGTGAAGCTGAAATCCATGAAAACGAATGTAGACAGACCACAATTCAAGTTCAACATTCAGAAACTAAAGGACAAAACCACAAGGGATGCATTCACTACGGATATCAGAGCAAAGTTGGAGATGCTAAGTGTTATCAACGAGGAAACCTACATGGAAGAAAATTGGAATTCTTTGAAGGTGATATTCAAGGAAACGTGTACAACTGTTCTAGGACGAAAGAAGAGACAAGACAGAAAATGACTGTCAACGGACATCTACCTGGAAGTTAATAGAAGAGAGGAAAGGAGAATGGTGAAAGAGAAAATGACTCAATGCAAAGATGCACAACAAAAGGAGAAGCTGAATTCAACGGACATCTCACTGAATGAAGAAGTGAAGAAGAGTGATGGGAAAGACAAAAGACAATTCTACGACATACTGGCTGGCAACTGAAGCAGAACAGGCCACAGATAAAAGAGTCCTCAGAACACTATATCAGATAACCAGGTCTCTATCTGGGAAGAAATCAACACAGATAATGAAAGTGATAAAAGATGTTCAAGGAAACCTGATTACCAAAGAGGGGAAACGAAGAAGACAGTGGGTTGATTGTTTCATAGGACTCTTGAGTTGACCATCACCTGCTACTCACCCAGAAATACACCACCTCCAACAGTGCGTAGAGAACTGCCTACCAGTGGACACCAATCCTCGAGCGAAAGCAGAAATCTTGAATGCAAACAACCTACTGAAGTCCAGTGGGAAAGGTAGCAGCGTCAGACGGAATTTCCACTGAAGCACTGAAAACGAAGTCAGAGACTGTGGCAGATGTGCTCACGTCATTACTGCAAACGGTTTCGAATGAAGGAAAGGTACCTGCTACCCATTGGAAGAAAGGCTAGCTACCTTGCCAACCTACCAAAGAGGGGCGACTTAGTCCTGTGCAAAAACTGTCGTGGAATAATGCTCTTGTCCACACCAAATAAAATACTCAACCGCATCATCCTGGAGAGAAAAAGTTGATATTCTTAATTGTGGTGGACTGGATTATGAGTCAGACTGTGCACAGGGAGTGAGAAGAAAGGAATGCGCTGGACTACTGATAAGAAGATTCTAGGAGATTTGGATTTCGCAGATGATATATGTATAATGTCACAAAAACTTGAAGACTTGCAGGCGAAAACCAACCAACTGGGCTGAAGAGGCTGGCAGCGAAGATAGAACTGCAGGAGAAGACGGAGGTGGCGAAGACAACCGACAAACAACAACCAGCACGAATCACCATCAACGGGAGATATTCAGCAGAGGTTAGTTCCTTCACTTATCCGGTTAGGAAGCATCGTTTCAACTAGAGGCGGATGGCACGGGTGAAGATGTGAAAGTCAGAATCGGAAATGCAAGATACGCCTTCATCAACTTGTAACCAGTTCGGAAATCTTCAACACTCACCACATTTTCAACACCAATGTCAAGTCGGTCCTTCTATACAAGGTCAGAAACTTTCACTGCGTATGCTTCACGAAAAGGATTTCTAACAAGCTACTGCAGACGTTTATCAACAGATGCCACCTTCGCTGACTGGCTCCATACTGAAGATCAAATGGCTGGCCATAAAGAATTAGCAACAAGAAACTCTGACTGGAAACAAACCAACCAAGAGCCGATCGCTAGACAAATTTGTAGGAGATAATGAAAATGGATTGGACATACGCTGAGGAGGCCGTCGAATGACATCGCGCACAATGCAGGCCATGGCTCGAGTGGAATCCAAATGGGAAGCGACAAGTGGGTCGTCGGTGCTAGGGTGACATGGAGGAGATCGAGTGAGGAAGAGATGAGAAATTATGAACAATCGTGGGCCCAGCTGAAGAGGACAGCATAGAATAGAACAAAGTGGAGATGTGTTGTTGAAGTCCTATGTTCCACTCGGAACCCAAGGTAACAATAAATAAAATAACTGTAAGCGGAAATGCAGTAGGATCATTCTACGATAAGCTGCCTTTTGGCATTGATTTAGCATATGATTATCTTCTGTTACCCTGATGTATCCCTTTTCCTCCCTTCTTTCGCAAATAACAATCTCTCTGTGTCTCAGCACAACAGGCAAAACAACAAATGATATCAACAAAAAACAGTCTTTTTTTGGGGGAATCGAAAAAAATCCAAAAACCAATGAATAAAAAAAATCACAACTTTAAACTATCCTTGAATAATTATCATGGAATAAATGATACATACATGTGAATAAACATCGAGCTAACAAAAACTGCATAGTAGTCGCATCTTTACGTTTTGTTATATTTGAAGCCCTAAATACAGAAAGTAACTGTTCAGACTGTAAGCGCATATTGATTTCCTCCTGTACAGGCATTATTTTTGAATTCTTCACCACACATAAGTGCTTAGATGATTTAGGCAAAAGGTTAAAAGTTACAAATTGATCATTTTTAAACGACAACGAAAACAGCTGATTAAGATACTGTACCCAATGACTAGTTGACTGATTTGTCCAGTTGACTAAAGTCTCTACTGTCGGACACTTAACTGAAATGGAAGCTTGACAGTTTTGATGAAATTCATCGTCTGTAAGATTAGATAAAAAGGCCAACAGGTAACCTGTTACTACAGCCTGATGCATAATTAAATTGTCTTTGGGATATTTTCCTGTTGTCACTGCTGTCGTTGTAAAACAGGATGATGGGACAACAGGTCGTAGAATAACATCCATATTTAGTGGAACATTGTGATCGGATAGAATTTGTTCCTTCAGAATATTACAACAATGAAACGCCTGAAAGGAGTAAATAAAGAGATATGTATATATACACACACACACACAAAGAAAGTTAAATGAGGGACAGGAACAAATTGATCTACTTTTAAATTTTAAATTATATAATGATGATTAGGAGCGGAATTCAGCAGTCATTTAATCACTATGAATATAAGATCTATCGTTAGTCAGTAGCTTATCTAACATTTCTAAACATTTAGGTCCGGTGGGTAAACATTAGACGCGTGCTATCCTGTCAGTAACTTCACTAACTAGTAACACACCTTTATCTGACTGATATTTGCTATCTTCCAGTCCATCCTTTACTTTCGAAAGCGTAGGGATGTGCAACACCTTGACCAGCAGCCAAAGGAGAAGAAAGTTTGTTACTTTCTTGATTGCCTAGCTGCTTATCCTGCCTAACTGCTAAAGACATCACGAGGAGATTCCATTGAAATTCCAATTTTAGTTTTTGTTACAGTCGTTTTTTGCTGGCGAAATTCTCCATATGTGCGGTCCGTCTGAATGGGTTCGTTAAAAGAAGGAAAGACGGCGCTACTTATCGTGGCCTTTTTGTAGTCTCCGCTTACGCCCCAACCGACTGCAGTTCGGATGAATTATAGGATGACTTCTACCTGAAACTGCCTAGTTTGCTGCAAAAAGCAAAACGCTCAGATATAGTTATTTTAGCAGGTGACTTCAATGCCCAAGTAGGAGAGTTATGCCAGACTGAGAAGTATACAGGTGGTGCCAACGGAGTTCCCTGCCGACGAACTGACAACGGTAATCATCTTCTACAATTCTGTTCAGATAATCATCTGTTCCTAGTCAGCACCAACTTTAGGCACACAGAAAAAACATCGCCTAACCTGGCGACCTCCATTAGCAAATCAACATTGGACTCAAATAGACTAAATAGCGATAGGGTTTCGTTGGTGAGGATCAGTAGAAGACTACCGTTACTTTTGGAACACGTACGTAGACTCTCATCACGCTCTGGTTCACGCACGTTTATGCTTACGGTTGAACGGACATAAAAAATTATTGGCAGCGAAGCAGTTACGTCCCCAACTAGATCGAGACTTTGAGTCCCTATTTAAGGAAGAAATAGTGAAACGAGTACCTGAGGTCGACAACAAGACTTCTCCCGAGGTAGCCTGGCACTACATAGTAAGGGCCATTGGATTTCTACCACCTCATCCGAACTGATTAAGTCAAGACTGATTCTGGCGAGCTCCAAATATGATGAAGAGCCAAAGCTGCTCAAACGCAAACTAACAAGAAGTCTTCGCAACAACCGTGAACAGTGGTGGGCAACAAAAGCAAAAGAGATGGAAAAGGCCTCAGTGACAGGTAACACCAGATAACTATTTAGACTTATCAAGAAAACAAATGACAAAAGGCAAATGATAAATGAAATAATCCCTGAGAAAAATGACACTATAATTAGTTCTCAGGATAGACGACTGGAACGTTGGAAAGAACACTAAGGAACAATTCAATTGGCCTACAACCACGCTCAACTTACCTAGCATCCAACACCACTAACCAGGTTATTAAAAAGGTACAACTTGGATAAGTAAAACAAGTGGTCGCTATTGATTAGCATGAAAATAGTAGTAGTGAATTTATATTCAGTTATGAAAAGATGAAATGTTGAACTAATAATTAAACTGTTTCACCGTCGTATAGTAAGACAGACACAGAGCATTGTTAAGCTCTCCACTTGACCTTTATCTAGCTGACAGCATTAATGGGACGATGCAGTGTAAGCTAAATCAGACATTTTCTCTTTACGTTGAGGTTTCACAAAGCACTGGACCTTCCAGTGTTAGGGTGACTTTCGAGTTCAGGTGCCACCTCTTCCAATGTTGTTTGCTGAAAGTTCGGCTGGCCTTGATATCGCCCATTAGAATTTCAATGTCACCACTTGGCTGGGGTCTTGTCCATAACTGTTTACAGTCATATGTCAACGCATTGTTTTTCCACAGGGTCCGCAGTGTTAGTAGACGCACATCATTGTACAACTGTAACCTTCGTCCATTTTCGGTCAAATATTGCTGTCATCATCCTTGGTGGGAGGGGGGAGATTGCTTCTCCTTGCATGAGATCCTTCGATGATATTGGATACATTATGATGGTAACACCGTCAACGCGCTAGTCGTTGCCTTTTGGGTGACAAGAGTAGATTATTGACTCTCCAGTTAACAATTTGGAGTCCACTTACATTCCATCTGATCTCAGTGATTCCTGAAATTTCTATCATACGTTCGGCAGTCTGAGCAGTCTTAGCAGCCTGACACATGGTGCGAAGAACATCTTCACGTTCTTATGCTTACTTTTGCTTTCATCGAAAGAAGACGAATAGGTCGACTGGTTTGACAAAGTCTTACACAGGCCAGCGTCCTCCATCCTCCGATAGAAGGATTTTCCCGATTCCAGTGGAGAATGTTTTTTTCTGTTTTAAAGTCTCAGAGGCGATGGCTTTATTTTTTACGAGATGAAGTTGTTAGACTCACGCCTAACCTCCTCCCCTTTCCGCCCATGGGACCAGCTGGTAAGCTAGGTGAGGTTTGAAATATACTAATATACTTTTCGGACTGGTATTTTAGTCACCTCTTAAGGTAGATATATTTGAGCATACTTGTTCTGGCAGCAAACCGGATAACTTTTGGTGAAACGCATCCCCTACTCCACCCGAACTATAGTCAGTTGGTAAGAAAGCGAAGATGACAAAAAGGGGACAAGTGTTTTAAGGTATCAATACAGTCTGTTAGAAAGTGGAGTGTAAGCAAATCACCCTACGATGATAACCATTTTTGGTATAAAAAATATCCGAGCAACCTTCCTAGAACGGTAAGCTCTGCAGGAACATTTGCTCCAGCCGGTTAAGTTCTTTAAGTCATTGTGAAATGCGAACTCAATCACTATTAGATTCGGTGTATTTATTGACCTACCACTATTAATTTATAAAGCTTAATGACGTACTTGTCCACCAACATAACTTAGAAAATTCATCTGTGAAAGTTTCAACACACCACAAATGACTAAAATCTGTGCTGCGGAAAGGTTACTTTTGACTACTTGGTATGTTCCGACAAATTCACCTCACGGAGTCGATTAGTCCATATTAAATAAACTTAAATAATGTGAATGATGAAACTATGTTAACTGACTGAGATTCAATGCAGAACTTTGCACAGAAGTGTAGGAGTTCAAAAATGCAAACAAAAAAATTCAAAGAACTCAATGGGAGAAAGAATGATTACATGGAGAAACATGAGGATGTAATGAATCTAGGAGATTGCATAGAGTGAATGCATCTGCGCTACTGAAAACAATTTTGAGTCAGACAGTCTCAAGTCATTTATCCTTAGAGTCTCAATGACTGTCACCAGGCAGTCTACACCTTCCTACATTGGCTAAAACCAAACATGGAAAGATTTCATGGGCTGATGCCACGTTTTCATTTGAAAAACCCTAACTCTTTTCCAACTCAATTCTATATCAACTGACATCGCTCGACAGATCAGGTTGGAAAGGGTATATATATATATATGATGCGATAAAAAGATATATTTGCAATTTTTTTCACAAACTACATATTCGACTTTAGCATACCTAAAACCGATTTTTAACCAATAATTGACAAGTATCGAATCTTTCTGGAATGAAGTCGAAGAATGAGAGTTCATGGAAAAAGTGTCATGAACTACTGCAATATATATATATATATATTGGTGTGCATATACTTATATTATCAATAATCTTATAGTAACTCCTTTAGATTCTGTTCTGTATAAAAGGATATTATTTACACACTAAACGAAATACGATCTCAAGCAAAATATACATAGATGTTAGACCATCAAAGATTCAAAAGGTTCTAAGACGAAGATTACGAAAAGAGCAGTAAGTTTGATTGTCTAGTTTCTCCATTATCAACTGACGGCTGATAATTTAAAAGGCTGAGCCACTGATAAGTAATAAAACATAAATCGATAGGTTCTTAGTGTCATTTATATTACCAACCAAATTTACACTGGATCAGCACCGATAAATCTTTTGACCAACAGATACATTTGCTGGGGACTTGAATAGACACGGGGGATGGAAACTACAAGTTTGATGACGAGGTGATGTCGGTTACTTGTGTACAACATTGGACGGTTGGTAAAAGTTAGAATTCGTGAGCCATTGAATCGAGTCCCAGTGGCTGAATGCCTTGTAACCTGAACGTCCTGGCTTTGAAACCTAGTGGGTGAGCACTGACGATGAGTCCCGAACTAGGATGAAACAGCTGTCTGTCCAGTACTTGCTGGTTTTCAATGATTTTCTAACTGATATCAATCCGTGGTCTAACTCGAAAGACAAATCAACTCTCGAATATTGTTATGTCATAAAATTACTCAGTGAAAATAATTCAAGTATAGATTTTGACGCGAACTAACATCAGTCGGAGAAACGATTGAAAAGCAGGGGTGCACTGAACAGGTATTATTGATTGATGAATGTGAAGGCTGTTCAGCAACTCGGTCGGTCGGTCGGTCGGTTTTCGACATAGAACTTTGCACATATGTGCGGCAGTTCAAGTCGCCACACTCCATGTAGCACACAAAGCAAGAGAAGAAGGTAGAAGAACTGCATAATATAGACAGTAAACAGAGAAGTTAGACAAAGGAATAGTAATAACGAAGAACAAAACAGTTTAATTGGAAATCATAAGTCACAAGGAGTGGATGCATCTGCACCAGCCATTGAGAACGATTTTGAGCCATGTCACCAATTGTTTCCAACCATTGGTTTTTACCGTCCCGAGGACCCCAACCAGGAAGTCTACACCTTCCTACGTGGCTTAGACTAACTGTTGTGGATTTCATTGACTGGTGCCATGTTTTCGTTTGACCGCCGCTAGCTCTTTTCCAGCCTGGCCCTATATCAGCTAACATTGCCCGTCGAGGAAGGCGATGACTAGGCATACGTAATACATGTCCTAACCATCTCAGTCGGTGTAATTTCACAGTTTCGTCGATTGATTTCCCCGCCTTACCTAGCACTCGACGCCTAACCTCATTATTGCTCACCCTACCATACCACTTCACGCGGGAGATAGAACGCAGACACCTATGATCGAACACAGATAATCTTTTCATGTCTTCTGCTCTCAATGGCCAGGTCTCACGGCCATAAAGGAGGACGGAGCGGACTGTTGAGCAGTACACACGCCCTTTGGTCGATAGTCGGATATCACGTCTACGCCAGAGACGGCGTAAACTGGCATATGCGAAACTAGCCCTCTGTATTCGTGCTGAGATTTCGTCAGAGATCAACCCGTTGGGGCTGATGGTACTTCCCAAGTAAGTGAAGCGGTCAACGTGCTCTACCACTTCACTTCCTATTTGTAATCTAGGAGTCGGTGTTCAGCAACTAACAGTTACTACAGTGAAATACCAACTCCGAAACTACTTACTTAGGTTATTACTTCATCCAGTTACACTTTAGGGATTGGTTAGTGCTGTCAGCTGGTATGTTGTAATATGAATGTAATTCACAGCCGAGAAAGCATGATATACGTACATAGATGGATTGTGAACGCTTAATTTCATCCAACCGACAAATAAATACCCTGTTTCAACAAAAACGCCAACAGATGAAATTAAGTGATTTTTTGGACATATTCATATAACCCTTTCACTTGAAATTTGTTATGCACTAATCTTCTCTTGGTTTGTATCAGAGGTGAGTAAGTATCCATAATGTGAGAAGCAATATCATAGTAAACATCAGACTTACTGGAACATAGGACAAAGACAGGTGGACACATACACACACACACACACACGTACACATCATTCAGTCAGAGATTAATGTTATGTTCTAATGTCAAAATGTTGGTTTTTTTTTTTAATGGATACTGAGTATTTACCTTTTTCTTTAAGAAACAAATTGAGCAGACTGAGCCAGTGTTACATCGTGTGTGACACTGTCATTACCCATTACTCCATGAACCAAAAAAGCATATCCATCTACGAGAACATTAACCAGACTAAGTTGGTTGTAACTAATTCCTTCATCATTATCATGGAGTACACGTGCATTCGAATTCATTGTATTGTCATCTACATTGAATATACGGCAATAATCCAACTTATAATTATTATCATGATTATTATTAGTAGTAGTAGTATGCCTTGTTGACAGTTTTGGCAATAACATGAATATATCTTCAATAATATCATTAGTTATGCTTTCTGAACTATGCTTCTTCAAAAAATTAGATTTCCATGATGAAAGTATACTTTTCCGATATGAGTAATTCATAGTAAAAACAGGAAAATAAGATAAAGATGACACTTCTGTACATAAACATCCAATAAGGTATCCCATAAAGCCAGCACGTATCAATGAAGAAGACGACAATTTGGAGGAGACATACACTAGAGCACTTTGACTACTGGTCGAATTCTCAGGTGAGCAAATATCATTCAATAATAGTTGAGCAACAGATTTAAACTATATTACAGAAAAGTTAAAACAACACATAATTTTGATATATATATATATATATATACTAGTAGATAGCTTACAATAGTAGTATATGTTAGGTTACAAACCACAGTTTTAAAGACTTATTCTTCTCACCCAGACATCTTGTGGTGTGTCACATTGTACCTATCTACATTCTACGATAAATAATCAAAAATTAGTATAAACCCCACCTTACTTCCACAATATGAAGTAATTAGCGGTATTAACTTGGCCATTGCTTGGACATTGGTGATTACCAGGTATGTTTAGTAAGATTTGAAGTCCATAAACTTCACACTATCCAATGTGGAATATATGAATATATAGAATTGAAGACACAAGAATTCCTAACTATTTCTCTGAATGCAAACAAATGATTCTCAAGTGTTGGTTTGCAGAGATTTGATTGATTTTAATTCTGAGGACGAATCGACTTCAGTTAGTGGACAAGAGAATACTAAACAGGTATTTAGTGCTTGTCTGGAACTCCTCAGTAATGCACGTCCATGATTCAACACCAAGAACCGAACTCAGGACATTTAGATAACAAGAAGAATTGGTACACCATTCAGTCACCGGGATCCAACCTAATGGACCACCAATTCTAACTTCTGCCAATTCGCGACATAGCCAGCCTGCCAACCAATATCATCTCTAATGGAAAGTCGTGGTCAGAGGGGTCCACCAAACTGGATGTGAGGACAGATAATCACCGATACACTGACTGGCGACCGCGATATAAAGCGAATTAGCAGAAGTTAGAATTGATGGGCCATTGAATTTCTTCCCAATACGTGAACGACCAAAGATGTCAGTCTCTGACCTGAAAGTACTGTTGAAGGGTTCCAAACAAGGACGAAATAAATGTCCAGTACTCTCTGGTGTGCAGTGGTTGTCTAATTGAAGTTAATTTATAATCAAACTTTTTTTAAACAAATGATTGTTGGTCATTGTAATTTAATCGTCAGGATTGTAATGAGACCAAAAGTCTCACAGTCACTGCAATATAAGCATAAAACAGAAACTAAGCATACTAACCACCTAATTAACCACTTCAAAACACGCTAATAACGTACAAGTAATTCAACGAATCAGCTGTACACTAACACTGGGAAAAGGTATTATTGATGTCAATCTACTCTAAAGATTAGCATAATGGTCTTTATATAGCATCAGCCTACTAAAATTAGTGACAAACATCTTAATTCAGTCGTTGACTGATGTGAGTGTTAAAACATAACACATTATATATATATATATATAAAGCTTTGTTAATTCTAATTACTGTGCTATATCTTTAAACAAAAGGGGGATCCAGTTCAGAATTCATTTAAGCTGGTACAGGTTGATAATACAAGTATCAGGGTTGATTCAATACACAGATTACAAGTTTTCACAGGCTCTGATTATAATCGTAAAAGTACTTTACATTTCCGGCTTACGTTCATCAATACGATAACTGTAACTTTACTTACTGTGTTAGTATCACTAACTATACAATAAACACAAGTGGAACCCGATTAACTAGCAAAAGTCAGTACTGGCTAATTTGCTTATATAAAAGCAGATGTTACCTCCTACTTATAATTCTTTGAAAATACAAAATCCAAACTTGAAAACAGCTAGAAAACAATTATTTTAAAAACTGTAAACTCTACCGTGGAAGAACAGACAGATGGTCGGAATTCTTTTCCGGATGGTAAGTTAAGCGGTAAACTATTCCAACTGGAAAGTATGACTGAATTTCTATCTTCAAGATCAAGGCGTAGAAATGCATAACTTAGCCGATCAGCTGTAACTTCAACAGTGCAACATGAATCGATTGTCTACAAAAAGAAGCAATTGTTTAAACAAACTTTATATTATGTAACTAACTCTACGCTGCTTGTCTGATAATTGAGGTCGAACTGTAACAACGGCTGCGTTTGAACTTCGTCTCAAAAACACTGAAGTGAAACTACAAACGTTTTGTATAATTCTAACGGAATTATGCATTATAAGTGTGATTGACGACTAAAGTTGGCGGTCAGATGATATCTGTCATAAACATTTTGTGATATTATCTGAAAAATAATTATAAAACACAAATCAGTTTATTTTTAAGTTTCTCCTACATTGAACATCTACTTCAAGTATTTGTGTTGACAAAAGAAAAAAACTGACAACCCTATAGGTAGGTTAAATCATATTGTTAATCAAACTAAAAAGACTGATAAGTGAAGTGTAAACATTGGGGAAGACTACATCAGTCGTATAACAAAATCATATTGGAACTGAATTTTATTTTGAGAAAAGCCGAATTAAATTCCAAAGGTTAAACGGTAATAACCATTGGTTTTGGGAACATAAAAATATTAAATGAGAATTAGTATTTACGAAAAACTGAAATTCATTGCTAGAGCACTCACTACGACTAATAGAAATATTCGAATAATTGTTTGTTCTGCTAACTCTAATCTTGCCAGTAAGATTTCAACAGTTGAAGAAGAATGTCGATTTTTATTTACGCAACAGAAAATTAGTAGAGACCTAAATACAGTGAAGTTAAAAAAGAAATCTGTTGTTGTATTGATATACCACTAGCATACCTTCGTATTAGATGTTATTGTATACAGTGCAAAAGTTCACAGTTCAAATTCTCATAGCTAAAACAACTTTTTCTTAAAATACTTAGATTCGGCAATCGTTTTACATCTTATATAAATATATATATATATATATATATATATATATGCAATCTAAATTTTACGTGCTGTTTCTATCTACAAGTGACTTACTTCCCAAATAGCAGTTACTAGTAATGCTTGCCAATCAGACGAAAATATTAATACTGCACTTTCACTCGTCTGAGGCTTAACTCATCAGAGTTATAACAGGTTAAACTCAAATTAGAGAGTTAAATCACTTCGAACGGCTAGAAATCTGCCTGGCTACCTTGACGAACGGGCAATACAGAATTAAATTTTTCATTTACGGGTAACATTTCGAAGAGAAAGCTTTAAACGTTCCCAGAAGAAAACCGTAGCGGTCTAAATAGATGTCTAGCTTCTAGGTGTGCGGGTTTCTGAGATGTGGGACGCAATTTAAGGACAGAAGGGATGTTGACGTTTACGTAAAGTTTGATGTATACAAATTCAAATTCTTATCTCCCCAGCTCTTACAGTATTTTTTCTGCCTAGACCGAAGACAAATCAAAACACCAAATCAATCATCCGAAATATGAGATATGTTTCGGGATCAGAATCGTAGAGCAATGATGACCGCTTAGCTAGCTAGGGATCGTGCATGAATAACCGAACGTAACACGACAGCGTGCCAAATGACGTGGGTGCTTGGCTGCCAACCTTCAGCTGAACGAGTCAACATAAACAGTGAGAGCCAGCAACCAATGTTGTGTAAACCAGTGTTGTGTAATGATGTAGGCTAACAATTTTGGAGAGTCATTTATCGTAACGCATTAATAGCGCAAGTTTCCAGGGATCTGGTCAAGCCTACCTGTTACCCTAGAACATAGACACACTTTTAGGCGTCCAACAATTGCCATATTTCTTGACTTGAAGGCGGCCTTCGACTCCGTGGATAGAGAGGTACTATGGCAATGTTTGACTGTGAAGGGAGTGCCAAGAAAGTACATTGCACTAATCAAGGCACTCTACTCAAACTCACGTAGCCGTGTAAGGGCTTATGGGGAATTGTCATCTGAATTGTTAACAACCAGTGGTGTCCATCAAGGATGTCCACTTTCCCCATTCCTGTTTAACTTCATCATAGATATGCTAATGGAAGTATCCTTAACTGAACTTAACGACTTAGGAATCGACTTGTTACCAGGGAATAGTCATATGGACTTAGAATATGCAGATGACATAGTCCTGCTAGGGGAGGATACTGACAGAATGCAGAGTCTTCTGAACACCTTGAGCAGCAATCTTCGTATGTTTGGCATGCGATTCGCCCCTGTAAAATGTAAGATGCTGCTACGGGACTGGACTGCGTCAACTCCTAGCTTAGTGATAGGGAGTGAAGTGATAGAACATGTTGACCACTTCACCTGTTTGGGAAGTTGTATCAGCACCAACGGATTGATTGGTGACGAAATCTCAGCACGGATCCAAAAAGCTCGAGGTGCTTTCGCTAACTTACACCATCTCTGGCGTAGGCGTGACATCCGGCTATCAACCAAGGGACGTGTGTACTGCTTAGCAGTTCGCTCCGTCCTTCTCTATGGCTGGCTCTGAAACATGGCCAATACGAGTTGAAGACATGAAGAGCTTGACTGTTTTTGATCATAGATGTCTACGATCTCTTTCCCACGTTAGGTGGTATAATAAGGTAAGTAATGTTGACGTTAGGCGTAGTATTGGGCAAGGAGAGAAAATCAATCGAAGAGGCTATAAAGTTACTTAGATTGAGATGGCTAGGTCACGTGCTGCGCATGCCTAACCATCACCTCCCCCGACGGGCATTACTAGCTGATATAGGTGCAGGTTGGAAAAGAGTAAGTGGTGGCCAAACAAAAACATGGCATCAATCCATGAAATCCTTGACAGTTAAACTGAGTCAGTCAGGTAGGGAGATGCAGACTTCCGGGTTGGGGCCCTCGGGACTCTAAGAATCAATGGCTGGAGACAATAGGTGACATGGCCCAAAATCGTTGTCAGTGGCTTACGTAGATGTATTCAGTCTCTGTAATCTTTCATATTCCTTTCTACCATTACTCATTCTGTTTCACTCTTATACTTGTCAAAACTCTATTGATTCTCTTCACTCATTTTCTTGTCTACCTTTGTGTGCTATTTGGGACGTGGCAACTCGAACTGCTGCACTTCGGTGCCAAGTTCTATGTTGAATCCAGACAGACAGACCTGTTACCCAGCTCGCATCAATGTAAGAATGTTGTCAGTGGCGAGCTAAAATGTAACATAGTAACAGAATAGCCCTATCAGATATAGCATTGGAGGGGAGCTTTCTGAATGAAACTACTTAGGGCATGAGGACAGCAAACATAAACCAAGATTCCAAACAATAATGACCAGTTGGCAAAAAACGTAACAAATGTGATGATAAAAGATAAAACACGATAGTTTTTATAAAAGAATAGAAATAATAATACAGTGATAATGAATGGAATAATTGAATACACATTTCATGCAATAACAGGTGCAACAGTGAGAGAGCACGGAGCCTAGTCAAAGGTTCTACTGAATTACCGTTCTGTGTCATTATGAATTGTGTAGTTATGGCTCATTGTTTTGAGCGATTCATTTACAACCACTGGGTCACGGATTTGAAACCCGCACCACCTATCACGATTTAGACAGCCAGGAAGTCCCATTAGGCCTAACACAGTGAGTGTGGCTCATTACCAATCGCATGGAAATGCATTTGTTCAGCAGCTGTAAAGCAAAAACTTAATAATTTTTCAAACATCCAGTATGTTTTGATAATCTCATGTTTGAAAACTTCGACCCAATTAGCACTAGTATTCTATAGTCGTTACACCCACTAAACAATTTCTTCGTTACAAAGCATACAGAAACTATTTCCAGGAAATTAACTCTTTTTTTCCTACAGACAACTGTATATTTTTAAAAGGGCCAGAGAGAAAGGCTGATACAAAGAGGTAGTTATTCTTTCAGGTAGCCGTTAATTTAATGTAGAATCAATGGCCCAATTGTGCATATTGAGTACCCATTACACAAAATTTCATCGAATAAGAAGAAACTATTTGAAGAAATCTACCTGTCTATTTCAAAACAATCGTTTTTCCTTTGGTAATTTTGCCTAAATGTAAGGCGGTTTGCTCACGATATATGTTTGCTCGGTCCTCTATAACAAACTGATAGAATTTACCAATTCGTTAGCTCTAGTCCAGTGCGTTAAGAAACCTATGCGTTATGACCCTCAGCACTGCTGGAGCTGATTTTCTAGCATGGTAAAGACGTGTACCCCATACTTCTTCCACTCCTATGATCACACTGTGATCACTTTTATAGTTTACACCTGCTGTAGTCTCCTGAGCCAAAACCTTGGCCCAACCAAACGTTTGGAAAGCTGACATAAACGTCTTCGTTTCTGCGGCCTCCTCACAAGGCTGAGACATAAACCCGGAGTCTCACACAGAGACTACATTTAGCAATACAAGCAATTTCACGCCCGAGTAGCCTAACTGTTCATGCCACAGTCTGTCTCAGGGGGTCAAAATCATGGATTAACGGCCATACCCTTGGGCTGCTTATTCACAGCACAGTACAGCCTCTGAGGAAACCTTTCATGATCGACAAGACTTCTCACAGCAAGGGAAAGCTACATCAAGTTAAGGGATAACAAGAAACCCATTGACGTTTTCAAAAGTTTCAGTAAACATTTCGATGAAGTACCTCACAAAACGATCGCTCGTGAAGTTGGGAAGTCTTGGTTTCAAGGGTGGCTTGCTAAACTGGATAAAGGAATCCCTCAAATATAGGAGACAGTGAGGATAAACTCAAAACTCTCTTCCTGAACAACGTACGTAGTGGGGTGCCACAAGACAACGTACTGGGCCTTCTTATCCATCCTATATATCAACGAATTACCACGGTTCGCCGAATCTCCCATGATTTTCGACGAAGAAGACCTAGAAATCTCAACATAGCTTAAGGGTAATAAAGATATGCTCGAGTCGCAAGTGGATCTCCATATACTGTCAGATTGGTTCAAAGAATGGATGCTCCCAACCAAAGTAACAGTGTGTAATTATGTAAAGTAGACACGGAAGCGTGAGGGAATACCACTCCCATTATCTCAAATTCATATGGATTTAGGTGTCTTCGTAAGTCATTACCTAAAAAACTGCAGCTCACTGTCGTAGTTCGAATTTTTAGATTACAGGCAGTACGCAAAACGTTTACTAGAATCGCCAGAGATGTTCACTTTATCATATACATCTCTGGTGAGAGGAAGGCTGAAAAACCCCATCCAAACGGCAATCCTTGTCTTCAGAGGGACTCCTACAT